ATGTATTTTTATTTAGAACTCCGTAGTTTATTTGTTTATAGGGACAATCAATTGAAAGCTACAGTGTGGGATCAATATATACCAAGGCCAAGAGTTGAAACCTTTTTTTTTTTTTTTTTTTTTTTTTTAAATTATGGTCTTGCAAATCCTATGGTTGTTCTTATGCAATTGTGTAGAGTTAAAAATGATACAAAGAGTTAATCTAAACACAAACATTTTAATTTTTCTTTATATTTGAAAGTGTTTGAATAAGGACAAGTAATGAATGTTCTTTTTTATTAGCCAGTTATGTCAAGATATGTAATTCTTGATACATAGCTCCTTTTCAATCAGGATTTCCAGAGTTTTGTGATTTTTTGGAAAGGTAAATTTATTATGTCTTAATCATTATCATAATGTTTTTATCATTTATTTTTGTACATATTTTGTTTATGATTGTCATTTTTTCAGTTTATGTGTTGATTAGACCCCTCTAATAAAAATTATGGATATTTATGAGATGATTGAGGTAAACAATAGCAATAATTTTTTTTTTTTTTTTTAAATTGATGCAGTGGCATCAAATTAGAAACTCATCTTTTGCCACTTTTAAAAATGATTTATTAGTATAAATTGTCACACTTTAAAATGTATTTTTTTTAATGTTAATAAATAAATTAGCTTAAAATAATACATTAAAATCTAAAGGATAAGCAAAGTATAATTTAAAGTATAAAATAAAGCCAAAGTTGTACATGTTTGCAAGGTGATGGAGCATTGTAATAGTCTTAGTGCATCCAAATAAAGGCATCATTTAACTGATTATTTCTTTCTTATCTCACATTAAAGGTTCAATACTGCATATATATATATATATATATATATATATATATATATATATATATATATATATATATATATATAAAGTATTAGTAATGACATTGGTACTGCTAAATGTGTATATAACTAATTATTTATTGATTTAGGATCAAAGAGTGCCCTATATGATCTTAGAGCTCAAATTTTACTTCCAGATATATTAGTTACATTCTATAATATAATAATATTTTTTGTAACATTATTGTTTGCAAATTCTCCGTATTTTTTTAACGTATTTATAATATCGTATAGAAAAGACATTAATTAATTAGGTAATAACATAATAGCATAATTGGTAATATTATGTATGGTATTACCGTGTAGAATTTTTGGATGTTTATCACCAACTAATTTAATACAACTTATTTTGTAAGCAAATATAATGTAGAAATCAACTAAAATCTTGGTAATATTGTTTCCATATTCAATGCTCTCACATAACATAATACCCTATATAACAAATTTAAACAATTTATAATATAACCAATTCATCATATATATATATATGTGTGTGTGTGTGTGTGTGTGTGTGTGTGTGTGTGTGTGTTACAACCTCACGGTCAAATCTATACTATAATTAAAAACAAAATCCTATTTATTTGATTTCCTGTCCAAACAATAGTAAATAGTAAAGGTAAATTAAAAAAAGAATGAAAAAAGGAACATAAATATTTCACAATAATATTCTACATCATCAATTAAAAATGGAATGGAAATTAGGTAAATTGGAAAAAGAAATGAATATTAATAATTTACTGAAAATTAAAAATGAAAAAAAAGAATTGAAGTTAGGTTAATTGGAAAAGGAAATGAAAATTAATAATTGACTGAAAGTGTTAGCTCTATACGATGATGGACAGGATTGCGTTGCTACGACCAATGTCATCTACAAACAGATTTCAATAATGTGTAAATACAATCGTTGATATTATATTTTTTTTAAATGACAAAATTGCTATATATCTAGACAAATATATATATATATATATATATATATATATATATATATATATATTCCATACAAATGAATTAAGATAGCAATTCATTCCTATAACTGAGTTGCTAGAGAACGAACATATTTGCCTAATTTATAAAAAAAAAAAAATACTAAACAATGATAAATAAAATATCCAAAGTTACAGCATCGCATGCGTACATCTACACATTAACTATTAATTTGAGCAATTATTTGCTCAAATTCAAAGAATGATAACATCAAAACACATAAATAATCCAAAACATATCTTCAATTGCACTGTATAATATTTGATATTCTAATTTAAATAATTATATATCAATCTAAATATTTTTAATATATTATAACAAATCCATCCCGTGCATCGCACTGGTGAAAATACTAGTTATCAATTAATACATTTTACTTAATTTCCATTAAACATACCAAATAAGGTTTATTATTAATTTGACCAATAAAATGAGTTTAGACGGAAAAAAGCCTGCTATGGGAAGATATTATATATATATATATATATATATATATATATATAGATTTCGGATATTTTTTTTTAAAAAAAAACTTTATTTTATATCAATTACTATCAACTTTTTAAAATTACTCCATACTTGAGTAAAGTGATTCTATCAGCTCCATCTTTAATTTTTGATAAAGATTTTAAGCTGTCTAAGATGAAGATTTGCCTTTGTACATATATAAAGAGAGGAAGTGGTCTGAGTCGCCCATTCATTAAACTTTGTTTCCTTCTTTAAACTTTAGGACTAAAGTAAACAGTAAGTATCCTATCAACCTATCATATGATGATTGATGAATTATTAGTATGTCCTTCGCTAATGCAACGTACGGGCAAGTACAAATTAAACTTGCCACCAGCTCGAACCCATCAGGCCATCACCCACCAAATAAAACCAATAATAACTGCTCCGCGACTTAGCGTAATTGGTTCGTCGCCTAATTTAAAAGTAATGACTGGGGATGATAGTGTGGAGATTCGAATCTCACTGAAAGCTTGTATGGGAAAAAAGTCAAAGGATGCAAGAAGGTCTGAATTTGGTTCTTTGTGCGCACATGAATACTAGGATATGACCTGTGGGCTGATTGTGTGACTCGCAATTTGCATCCACAATGGCTCTAGAGCGAGGTCTTTTGAGTTTAGGATTAGTCCGACGAAACTGTGATCACCTAGGTTGAAAATAATAATAATAATAATAGTAGTAGTAATAGTAATAAAATTCTATTATTATACATTATAGTTTTGTTGTATAAAATGTTCTTCTACAGTCCGAACACTAATATTATAAAACGAAAATAAATAATGTTTAAATACTAATTGGACCATAATTTTTTTGTCCAATCAATATTGTAATATCATGTATCTTGAATAAATTTTATAAGGTTATCATATGTTAATTTTATTCAATTTGTTAATTTGTTTGCAATTTATTTACTTTTTGTTAATTTGACTGTTTTTACTTTTTATTTAATATTGCAGAGCTAATTCTAAGAATGGTCCCTTGATTACATTTATCAATTTATATCGGATCATAAATGACCTATTGACTATTAATTTTGTTCCAAATTTAGTTCTTCAATTAAATTTTTTTTGAATACAAATATTTATTTAGAGTAAACATTAAATTTAAGAATAATATAATAATGAATTTAAGAATAATAATGTACAAATTAGCATACAAATTGGGTTTATAAATTTAATACATTGGGTTTATCAGCAGTAGGAAGAATCAAATCTTTACAATATTACCCTTAAATTTAATGTTTGCTAAATTAATATTTAATTGGAAGTAGGTACGATTTTTTTTTCTATCAATTCTTATTATTTGAAATATAGTTATCTCTATGAAACAATTAGCTAACTTAGCTATATAATTATAAAAAAAGTTATATGTTTCCTACTAATTTTAACACTAAAGTACATTGAAATAATTATCTATCAATTAGTTAAAATATAAGCAAATTCTATTACTATTTTTAAAAATATATATGCTTTAAGTTTGAGTCCCCTATGAGATTGTAATACTAATTATGTATAAGGGAAAATATAATATTTTTGATTAAAAATGCAATACTTTTAAATCAATGTAATATTTAAGAATTAGACAATTACTCATGAGAAAAAAATGTAATATTAATCATAGATAAATTGATTGATTGTTACTTATGAGAGAAATTGTAATATTTGTGAGGAAAAATATGATATTTTTGTTAAAAAATGTAATATTTTTAAAATTAAATGTAATATTAAATTATTAGGAATTGAAGAGTTATTCATGACGAAAATTATAATACCTATTAAAAATCCAACATAAGAATTTTACCTTATTTTAATATTGGACAAGTACATTTAACGCTCATTATCGCACAGCGCACATATTGTGCCTAGTAAATGCAATAAGAGTACATGCATATGCCCACGTTAAATTAACCTAATTCACATACACATAAGATTAGTTTATGTAAGGAATGTTATCTTAATTTAAGATCAGAGTATACGGCCATTTTTATTATTACATAAAAAAACAAGCTCGCTGTCCAAAAAGGGGTGCCAATAATTTAGCGAGAGGATTAATTACTGTGTCTAACAATAAAAATTTTGAATTACACCCAAAAATAGGTTTATTCAATTATTATATTGTGGATCATGATTTATATTATGAGGTGGACCACTAACACATGCGTTTATTTTTAGTATATTGAGAAAGTTCATTTTTAATGTTTTAGAGATTCATTTTTTGACGAATCATTTTTAGTACTACATGTTCATTTTTAGTATATATACTACATAAAAATGAGCTTATAATACATTAAAACGAACATTGATGAGCCTCATGGACTATTTTATTAGGAAAATTTTGGTCCAATAGAGTCCATTTTATTGGTAAACTCTTTGCCTAAGTCCGTAAAGGACGCATTGTGTGGTTGGAAGGTGATGGAGCAAACAGAGCTAAAGAGGTGTAGCCAATTGGGTTTAAACCCACAACACCATGCACAATGTCATGCCCCACCAATCTTGTGTACAAAGCACAACAAATTATGAATATATATATATATATATATATATATATATATATATATATATATATATATATATTGGGTGAAGGGCAATGTGACAAGTTGTGGGGTACACATGTATAGCTAAGAATGAAGGCTAGCCAGAGTCATCCTTAGCCATTGAGCCAATAAACCTTCCAGCCAGGGAGGCATGGGGTTCTAGACTTCCAGAACCAGATCCAATGTTCTCACCAAACTTTCCAGAGAAGTAGTCAAACAAATCTAAGAAAATTTAGAATGAAATAAATCAAATAAGTAAAATAACATTACAGGTATTGTGGGCAGAGAACCAACTCCAGTAGTAACTCCAATTCCACCGCACAACTCTGCAAAAAACAATTAAAGTTGTGAACAAAATTAGTTGTGAACAATTAAATGAAACACTGAAAGTGAAAAACTAATAGTTTACCTTTTTCAAATTTCTCAACTTCATCTATGTTTTCTTCAACTTTGAGTGGTTGATTGGTCAACCTTAGCCAATCTTGTGCACAAATCAGTGCCTCTACAATTTTAGAAGTATGAGAACTCCTAAATGCATCAAGAACTCTCCCATTGGTACTAAAATGTTGATTCTGATGCAACTGTTGAAATGGGAACAACAAGTATATCCCTTGCAATTTTAGACAACACGGGGAATCTTCCAGCATTTACCATCCACCATCTCAACAGGTCAAAATCACCATCCTCCTCTACAATTCCCTCACTCAAATACACTTCCAACTCTGTTTTCTTGGCAGCCAGTTCACCAGATCCCAATCTTTGTTTTTTTAACTGAGATTTTAACAAAGCTTGGGGCCTCCCAACAGAAATAGGATCGCCAACAGAAACAGAAGGAGCAGAATCTTGAACAGAAACAGGAGCACCAACAGAAACACAAGGAGCAGACTGGACAAGGAAACTTGCAACATAATCAGCATACAATTCTTTAAGGCCATTCATCACATTATGAAACAAGGGCTTACTAACTACATCACCATATAATTGATTAAACTAATATGACATGTACTCAGTCTTGTCGTCCCTAGGGTCCAATATATTTGCATAAAAGATCAAAAAGTTCATCTTGGATGGATCACCCCAGTATTTATCAAACTTAGCCTTCATATTCTTTCCCATAAGATTAACAGATTCAGATTCTGCTCCCACCAGATCTTTTAATATGCAAGATAAATCAGAAACTTCAGAGAAGAATGTATTTGAAGTTACATACAAAGACCCTGAGATCCTAACAGTCATTTCATAAAATGATTTAAGAAATTTCACCAATCCCTTTACAGTTTCCCAATCCTTTTCATCAGGTATATTCACTTTCCCACCCAAATCAGAAATAAATGAAGAGTCATGATCTTCATATGCTTCAAACACTTTCTCATAGAGCAAAGCAGTATGCAACATCATATAGGTTGAGTTCCACCTAGTAGGAACATCAAGAACCAAAGAGTATTTTGCTTCCACCCCAATTAAGTCAGAAAGGTCTCTAAATTTTTGGAGCCTAGAAGGGGAGTTTCTCATATACCTCACACAGTCCCTAACCTTCTTAAAAGACTTGTCAGATTCCCTTAATCCATCTTGCACCACCAAATTAAGGATGTGAGCAATGCATCTCATATGCAAATACTTAGACCTTACAGCAGAAGAACCCCAAGACATCAATTTCTTTTCGAAAAAACCTATGGCAGTATCATTGCTTGAAGCATTATCAACTGTCACAGAAAAAACAGACTTCAACCCCCACTCAAGTAGGCAAGTTTCCAATGCCTTTGATATATATTCCCCCTTATGTGAAGTTATAGGTACAAAGGATTTTTTTTTTTTTTTTTTTTTTTTTTTTTTTTTTTTTGCAGCTTCTACTCACTATCTATGAAATGTGCAATTATGCACATATAATTGATTCTTTGCACAGAGGTCCAAGTATCAGTAGTGATACTTACCCTTAGATAGTTGTTCCTAAAGAAATTCCTCAAATTAACCCTCTCATTAGAATAAATTTTCAGAATATCCCTACTCACAGTCCATCTTGAGGGGATTTTGAACCTAGGACATCAAACAAGAACAAACTTCCTAAAACCTTGACCCTCAACAAACCTAAAGGGTAGCTCATTAACAATAATCATTTCACAGAGAGCTCTCCTAATCAACTCTTGATCAAATACCTAGGTTCTCAAAACCCCTTGACCACCTTCAGAATCAGTTAATGTAGAACTAGGGACAGGAGAGAATGTGAGAAGAGATTGCCTAGTATCCTTAGAATGAGGATTCTTTAGGCAACTTAATATGTGATTTCTCAAAGAAGAAGTCCCATGTTTTTTGGACTCACAACAAAATATCTTTGCACAGTAAAAACACTTGCCTTTAATGACAATGCCCTCAATGTTCTTAATTTTCTCAAAGTGATCCCATACAGGAGATCTAGTTTCAACTTCTTTTCTTTTTTTAGGAACAGATGGAGGCAATGGCTGCTGAGATGTATCTTTCTTTGCAGCTCCTGCTTCCATATCATGTTCCACATTTTGTACAGGAGGTTGACTACCAGATCCACCAACACTTTCCATCTATAATGTAATAATAGTAGGAAAGTATTAGTAAATAGGAATCCCTCATTTTAGGGCAAATTCATCATTATTATTTATTACACATATTTCAGTTAATTGCACATTTCATCATGTATGCAGAATTGCACATAAATCATTTAAGGGTCACATATCCATAAACTTCATACTTGATACTTGCACAGTTATATAGAAAATTAGAAATCCATAATCAGGCATTTAAGCTAAGTAGCACGCATCTACTTTATAATGCTCATCATTTATATGGATTTCAGACTCAAGGAGTCAGAGGCTAGGTGCCCCCGTGTTACGGCCTCTAACCCAAACTAATTATTTAATTGCTTACCATTAAAAGAGAATTGAATTTCCTTAATTAATATAGAAGGGTCCACCATGGATCATGGACCCTTATCCCTAGACCAAACCATTAGTCATATAAGGAATAGAATAAGCGAATCCCTACCTTTCAGACCTTAGTTAGGACTCTTAATATATATATATATATATATATATATATATATATATATATATATATATAAGGACCTAGGAGTCACCTAGAAATCACACCACAATAGATTCCACCACACAAGAATTCTCAAGAATTCCCCTATCACCAAACGTAGGAGAAATCATGAAGAGGAGATCTTAGAGAAACAACCTTAGTAGCCAAGGATTCTAATTAAGGCTAAGAGGTAACCCATGTCTCAACAAAACCTATTTTCCTTGCTATAATCTCCTTCATTGGCTCCTTTGATATGTGATTCTATGTTTGCGTCTTAATAAGGCTTTTCCTGAGATTAATATGATGATTATGAGATAATCTTGATGTTTATGAGATGATCTTGATGTTTATGTGTTGATCTTGATGCTTATGTGATAATCTTGGTGTTCTTGATTCTAAGATAAATTATATAAATGATCTTGTGTTTTAATTATAACTAGAGCCCTAGGGTTAAAACGTGGATTTCATATTGTGTTATTCTTGGTATGTTTGGGTGGGATTTTGCATGTTCGGGTGTTAAGTCTTGACATGTTTAGGAGTCGCGTTAGGATGTATTTGATGTGATTCTTGCCGTTAATCCATTACTTGATTACGTGGTGTCATTGTTGTTTTTAAATGTGTCTTGACATGATTTCGGGTTCCACGAGGGATCCCGGGACCAAGTTATTACATAGGAGTCAGTGGGGGGTAGGTGGGGGCAGGGGTACCCGCCACCTACCCGCTGCCCAAACCACCGCCTGGCAGCGGGCAGTCGGCGGGCAAGCGACTGCCCGCCGAGCACCCGCTGCCTCGTGACTCGCCGTCGGCGGGTGGAGGTCCACCCGCCGGCCACCTGCTGGAATTCCGGTGTGGATTGCGGTGTTTTTTCTTGTTTAATGTTTCCCCATGTCCCGTTGTACCCCAGTTGTCATGTGCGAGTCTAGTTTGACGTAAAAGAGTCTTGTATATTGCATGCTAGTTGAATTGGTACCCCGATGGCCTAGGAGGAAGGTGCATGACCCCTTAGGCGTATCTCGAGTAGTTTAAGGTCGTTGACCACGCATAAGTTATATTAAGATAAGTGTTCCACAATGATTCCCCCCTCCTTATGTGTTAATGTGGGTTGCATGTGCTTGGCTATGTGTTATTTGTGCATGATACCCCAAATTTGTTGCGATCAATTGGCTATACAGGCAGTTGGATGGGTTGAGAACCATCGGCTGTTATATATATATATATATATATATATATATATATATATATATTATATATATATATATATATATATATATATATATATATATATATATATATATATATATATATATATATATATATATTATATATATATATATATATAGGCGAGTTCAGGTGCGACAGTGTCTTACGGTGCGGCGATTTCTTACGGTGCGGCAACACCAATAGTTTAACAAATATGCACCATCAACGTTAGGAAAATACACCACAAAAAACAGAGTAAACAGAGCCCTGCATCACCAAACACACACCATTAGGTGTGAGTAAAAACACCATACACTGTTCAGAAATATACCATTTGGGGTGGTGAGTTGTATGGTGTATTTTTTTGAGTCTGTTGTGTATTCTGTGATGTTTTATTGCATTTCATTGTGGTGTGTTTTTCTAACACTGTTGGTGCATATTGTTAACACTGTTGGTGTATTCTGAAATTCCGCCGCACCGCCGCATTTGAACGTTATTATATATATATATATATATATATATATATATATATATATATATATATATATATATATATATATATATATATATATATATAATTAAGCAAATACGAGACCAATTAAAGCAAGTAAATATCTTTATTGATCACGGTGAAGGCCCTAATGTAACACCCCGAAATTTCAAGACATTTAAAACTTATAAAATAAAGGCGAAATCTCATTAAATCCCAAAACGTAATACAAGAGTACAGGGTGCTATGCCACACCTGAGCTAGAAAACTTAGGTGCACAGGCTAACTAACTAATATCCTTGATAATGTAAATGCATAAGCATGGCACGCAGGCCGAAAGGGAAACTATCTACTTCTATGCTCCAATTTCTAGCGCGCTCCAGTGACTTATTCTTCTGTGCCTGAAAGCCAAATATATCTGTTCAGCGAGAGATGCTGGTAACCCACTCCAACGCGTTGAAATACAATACGTATAGAGATATACGTAGATATACGAAAACCATTTTGAGCATGAAGATATATCCTACGAACTCTAGCTTTTAAAACCGGGAAAGACTCGACAGATAAGGCTAGACACAAGCAACAGTTATAACAAGCGTATACAATCCACAATAGGCAAGACAGATAAAGCTGAGCACAATTAATAATCATAACCCAACATAAACAATCCCCAGCATAAATCCCATAGTCACATCCCCCAAGATACTCATAATCACAACTCATCCATATCTCATCACATAGCACACTTTGTTGGCGCCACAGGACCAATCGCATGCCCATACATGAGGGTCAGCGCATATAGCTCTGACACGGCCCCGCAGCACCCTGCCCCGTATCGCAACACGGAGGGGTCGATCGCAACCGACCGATGAACCGCAGCTCATCATAGTTTGATCGCAACCAAACAGTGGACCGCAGCCCAAGAGTATGCCATCTGACCGCAGCCAGGAAAGTATGAACCGCAGCTCATGTAGAAACGTTTGATCGCAACCAAATGGTGGACTGCAGCCCAAGAGTGTAAATTTGACCGCAGCCAGCTTCTGAACCGCAGCTCAGGAATAACCAATCCGATCGCAACCGGATTGGGGTATCACGCACACATAACACATAGCAAGCACATGCAACCCACATTATCACATTGGGAAGGGGGAGAAAGCGTATAACAAAACCTATGCGTGATCCTTCACATACTAAGAATAATCCTAAGGGGTTCATACTTCTTCCACCTAGGTCAACGGGATACCAATTCAACTAGCATGCAATATAAAAGACTCATAAACCTACGAACGGTACCCAAAACATCAAACTAGACACGGCACGATGAACGGAGTCCGTTGGGACACCACGGGGTCGGGGAAACATCAAACGGGGAAGCCGGGGTCCCGAATGGGGGAGGTTTCCAGCGGGTAGCCGGTGGGTGGGGGCCACCCGCCGGTAGCACTGTTCCGGGCAGCGGGTCGCCGGCGGGCAGCTGCCCGCTGCCGGAGACGTCCCTTCTGGCCGCGGATAGGTGGCAGGTCCCCTGCCCCCCACCTACCCCCCACTGACTCTTTATAAACAAAACGCCCCGGGAACCATTGTGGAACCCGAAACCATGCTTAGACACTTTACAACGCAATTAACGATCAACACCTAGACAATTAACGGATCAAATACGAGAAACGTACGGCAGCTAACCTATCATGCTTTTCTAAACATAATTGACACACAAACATGCGATTTCCCCACCCGATACCCCAAGAATAATACCATACGATACAACCTAGGGTTCTAATCACTTTTATACCAACAAGAATACGATTCGTCTTCTAATTACAAGGTTCGGTACAATTAACACATAAGCATCAAGAACGCCATACAATTATCAAGAACGACATATAAACATCAAGAACTCCACATAATCATCAAGAACACCATAATTATCAAGAATCTCCCAATATCAAGATCACCCATGGAATTATCCCATCAATCATCAATAACAATATCACAAATCATCAATACACAATAATATGAGGAAATCCTACGGGGGGAATCATAGCTATGAAAATAGGTTTTGTTGAGACATGGGTTACCTCTTAGCCTTAATTAATTCCTTGGCTACGAAGGATCTTTCTTTAAGCTTTATTGCTTTCTTGATTTCTTCTAAGGGGATTCTTGGAGCTCTTTTGGGGTGGTGGGGCGTTACTCTTGTGGTGGGAATTCTAGGTGCCTCCTAAGTTCCCTATTTATATACCTAGGGGTCTTATTTTGGGGTCTAATCCTTTTAGGATTAGGGGTTGGGTTTAGAGATGAGGGCCCACGGACTATGGTGGGCCTTTTCCCTAATTTATCATTATAATTTATCTTTTCTCTTGGGACATTGATTAATTAATTAATTGGTTTTGGGGGTCGTAACACGGGGTGTTACACTCTCCCCCCCTTACAAGGGTGCTTCGTCCCCGAAGCCCGGTGTGATAGCCCACCCTTTCACCCCTAGACATCTCGTACCTCGGCCTCCTGATTAGGAATGCGGCCCTACGTTTGCCTTGGCTCGGGGTAGGCTGAACTTTTGGTGGTGTTGTGATAGAGGAGTTCCGGGTGTACCTCGGTTTCCTGCGCTGGAACTGGATGCCCTACGAGTGCCCAAGGCGGCCTTGATCGCTGCTACCCTCTGATCGAGTGCGCGCGTGGTGCGAATCAAGGATGAGAACCCTTCTTCCATGATTTGGTTCTGTCGGTTGAGTTGTGCGAGAATGCGCTCATTGACCGAACCCTCGTTTTGTCCCCTCGGGTCCCCCCTGACCGTGGGTGCACTGACGGGTTAGGCCCGTC